CACATCAGCATCGTGATGTGAACCATATATATATATATATATATATATATAATTTAAACTATCTTTTATTTCTGTATTTTTATAAAATATCTTTCAGTTTCTTATAAAAATATAAAAATAATATAGAAAATATTTCTATCTATGTATATCATGATAGATATTGGTGCTGTGACATATTGACATATATTGACTATATATGTCTATATCTATGCTATAAGATTTTGATAATATTGTATACCATGCATACATAGCCTCATTAGTATAAAAGAGTTACTATATAAATTTATATACCCTTGAGACTAAAGGGATCCCGCTTTGTGGTCTGTCTTATTTTTTGAACTTGTTTAAACTCATTTTAACTGCAATGATATTCATCAGTTGTATTTATGCCTTTCTCATTCACAGCAGCTTTAAATTGTGAAAATGATTTACACTCGCTTATCTTGTTTTACTCTCTCACAGATCCTTCACCTCTGAACTCTCCTGGCAAGGTGGTTGCTGGAACGACAGCTGCTGAGGAGGCGTCTCGTCTGCTTGCAGAACGCAGACGTCTGGCCAGAGTTCTGAAGGAACAGGAGGAGAAACAGCGCAGGGAATTGGAGGAGCAGGAAAAGTATGCGTGTGTATGACTGATGCTGTATTTCTCTGAATTAGTGTACAAAGCGTTCAGTGCTTGCCGAACATGACTCAGACATTTCTAATGAGTATGCGTTGCATAACTGTGTTCACAAATGTTTTTGAATCTTGTGCTAGAAATTTTAATCTGTGGGGTTTCTGCCAATTTTGAAGATGCTTTTTGTATGTGTTTTTCCTCACTTTATTTACAAATTTTTCAATATTTCAACAATACAGTTTAGATGTGTTTTTCAGTTAAAATGTATTTGGTAAGAACTTAAAAACCACAAAGTACCAAAATGCTGTACAATTATGAGTCTGAAAGGCATCTTATAAAAAGACAGAAATAAAAGATCATTTAAATTTGTAAATGCATGAAAAAAAAATGATTTGAATAATTTTCCAGAGTGATGTTTGTATGTCACTTGAATACAAGAGTATAAGAGTGAGATTTTGGTGGTGCAGGATAAAAGGCACTTTTGTGACGTGAGACTGTGTTGGTCTGTGTGATTTTCAGACTAAAGAGTGAGCAGCTTAAGAAGAGGCAGCTGGAGGAAAGAGCTCGACAAGAAGAGAAAGCTCGTCGAGCTGAGGAGGAGAAATGTAGACAAGAGCAGGAACGGAAGAAGAGAGAGCAGGAGGAGAAAAAACAGAAGGAGAAAGAGCTTCAGGCCCAGACGGAGAAAGAGGTCAGAAGATTTAAAGTGAAATTAGCCTTTTTAGTCACTGGACCAGAAGGCATTAGCTTGCTCTAAACTTCTGAAGAATGTAGAATCCTGTTTCAAAGCCAGCAACAAATAATGACAACAAGTCATTTTACATAGGTCCCAAATTTATTTTCACCTAGCATCCTTTTCTTTACTCCACTCTTCTAAATCTTCCATCTCTCCACAAGAAATATGAAGGAATCAAATAATAAGGCCAAGTACATACTGCAGTTAAATATGGTTCTAAATGAGCTCATAGTTGAACCGCTCATATCTATATCAGTCTATCTATCAGTCGATCTGTCATTCTTTTCTGTCTCTGTCTGTAGATTCCTAACCTTCAGTTGTGTCTATGTGTTTAATAGAAAGAGGAGGCAGAGATTCATGCTCAAAAGGATGCTGAGCGTCAGCGGCAGGAGAGAGAGCTTTTCAAACAGCAGGAGGAACAGGAAAGACAACAACGAAAAAAGGTAACACGACCAGCAGCAAGCCACCCCAAGTGAAACATAAACATACTAAAATGTATTTGAAATACATTTATTTCATGCTAAGTATGCTATAAATAAATTTACATATTTATGTGCTCAATAAAAATTGCACCCTGCAATTGTACTTTTAGTATACTAAACTGGTATACTTAAAATCCGCTAGACTGGAATAACTAATTTTGTACTTAAAACCCCTTAACTGTCACCGTCCCACCTGTGGGACGCTTGGCTATTACAAAATGAATTACGCTCTTTTACAATCAAAACTTTTTATAATCTTGACAAAAATCATATAATTGGAACGGTCTGAGTCTCAGGATTCCATATTTAGTGGTTATTTTGAGATAGAAGTAATATTGACAGAGAAATCAATATAAAATAAAATAAAATTAATATAGTGCATTTTCTTTACAGTAAATTTAAACTACCGTAACTTTTTGATACTTAAATATTTTTTTTTAAAATTCCACTTTTGCGATAATCCGCTGATTTAATGCACTTCAATTGTGCTGAGGTCTAAAAGTTAGATATACTGATGTATATTTGACTGTGCTGAAGTGGAACTATTGCAAGTATACTTTAGTTACACTTTAAATGTCTTGCATATTGACATTATACAGGGATCATACAGTACAATCCTTATTAATAGTGATATTAAAACACATTTAATACTAAGAAATGTGCATTGTGCAACTCCAAAATAAATTGTAATTATAATTTTATATCAGTAAGTCTTAAGTGATATGTCAATAAATATGTTATGTCTAATATAATATAATATAATATAAAAACTATCCATAGAAAAATACTAAAATGTGCTTAAATTGTTCTCTGCAGAGAATTGAAGAAATAATGAAGAGAACCAGGAAGAGTGACGGTGAGATGAAGGTATCAGTGAGAAACAAACTGTCCATCACATTTAACTTTATAACTGTACAGTGTCTTCAGTGAGATGAATAAAGTATGTGTACTACACTGTAGTAAAGTGTGACTCGTCACAAAAAAAAAAGCAGTTAAATTAGACTATACCGGCATGGATTACCATCCATGTGAATGTGACCCAAATACCCCTTTTTGTGTTAAGTAAAGAAAAGTAGAGCGTAAATGATTGCTCTGAAAGGTAAAGTAACAGAATGACCTGATATTCACTCAGAGAGAGGACAGCCCAGAGCCCTTGTCTCCTGTCTCCCACCCCATCTCTCCTCCAGGTACGACTCAACCCTGCTCTCTCACCCTCACTATCACACACCAAACATTGTTGAAACCCATGTTAATAACAACATTTTAAAGTATTATTGGGTGTTTTTTTCTATGTGGCTATCCTTAGAAATGATACCTACGCATTGAGGGTTGCCTATTTTGTGAATGCATCTAAAAGTGTTCACTACTGCCAGTCATAGTCCGTTTTTAGACTGTTCTCACCCTAGAGGCAAATGTGTATATACTGCTAATGTATCAGGCCAGCCCTGCTGGTATTTTTCCATCGCTGCAGTATCTGCAGCAGTGGCAGGAGAGGGCAGCAGGGGATCGTATTCTCTGTCAAAGGTTGTGTTCAAGGTGATCTATTCAAAGACTGCACTGACTATATTTAGTCTGCTCTGCATTAAATTGCAGTCATTTGTGTGGCTTTTGACTATATTAGTTGTTTTAGAAAGATGTGTTGGTGACATAATGCACATAATGAATCACAAAATACAAAAACAACCAGTGTACAACATGTTCAGTTCAGTTGTCTTGCCGTCACTAGCCGTCTCGAATATGACTCATATATTTATAATAAGCATGCGTTGCATAACAAATGTTAAGAAAGGCTTGCGCTAGAAATATCTACTACTAGTGAAATTTTATTTACACTATAATACTTAGAAAGGATGCATTAAATTGAACTAAAGTGGCAGTAAATACGTGTTACGATAATATGTATTTCAAATAAAAATGATTCTCTGAACTATTCATTCATCAAAGAACCATGAAAACAGTGTATCATGGTTTCCACATACACTTGAGACTGGTTTTGTGGTCCAGGGTCACATATAAATCCCATATTCAGTCGATTTTGAGAAAATATTTAGCATATTTATTTAGCATATTTACATAATTATTATTTTGTATCTTTGGTATGCAATTCATTATTCTGAATAGATACTGACCCATTATCAACATTTGGAGGGTATGAGGCCTAACTAAAGTACCTCAAATTTACTGGGAATATTGTGGTCTTCTTTGTTTTTTGTATTCTCAGCCCCGTTTCGAAGGAGGAACTCATTTCCATCCCAGAATTCTCGCCAGTGAACTCTCCCCAGCAGATTGGAATGAATAACATGCGTGCTTTAGAGGACCTGTTGGATCTGACCGGACAAGTAGCTTATCCCAGACTCTCCCCTGCTGCCAGCCTGGGCGACTGCAACAAGAATCTAATAGAAGGGGTCTGTAGCCCTGGATCCGACTCGAAACTCGTTCCCAGCAACCCTCCAGCCTCTGACAAACACCACGTACAATAATGGTACAAGTTCGGTTGAATGCAATTTGTATACTTTTGCATGAGAATAGATTGTAATCAACAACAGATCTACACTACAGTTCAAACGTTTGCGTCGGTACGTTTTTTTTTTTTTTTGTAAACAACTTGCTAATTGAGATGTAACAAAATGTTTTTGAAATGTCTCTTATACTCTCTAATACAGTAACAATAATATTGTGAAACATTATTACAATTAAAAATAACTGTTTTCTATTTGAATATATTTAAAAATTTAATTTATTCCTCCATTACTCCTTTATTACTCCAGTCAGAAATCAGTCTAATATGCTGATTTGCCGCTCAAGAAACATTTCTTATTATTATCAATGTTGAAAACAGTTGTGCTTCTCTGTATATTTGTTGAAACCATGAGAAACTTTTTTTAGGATTCTTTTATGAATGCAATCTTTAATGTCAACTGTGATCAATTTAATCATCTTTTCTAAATAAAGAAATGAATTTCTTTGATAAAAAAATGTTACTGACCCCGAAGTTTTGAACTATAAAATTCTCACAAGTCTAGTAAGTTTCAAATAGATTTATATCCAAATAAATTTTTGTTCATATTTTCATACAGATTTGTCATCATAAACATATTTTCCTCTATTTACCAGGTAATGTGACAGACCACATTGATGCAGCTGACTGCAATGGGATAACTGCTCATCTCTTTCAACAGAAATGGAAAGAAAGTGGAAATGAAGGAAGAAAATACTTCGTCTGTCTAGTTTCAATGTTGCCCTCATTAAAAATGATGTCCTTCTGCCTTTAATCTTTACAGCACAAAAACCAAGTGCATTGAAGCTGTGGTTCAGTATTATGGACTGAATTTAATTCAAGTGTGTAGTGTTCACCAAATGTGTGTGTTGTGTGTATGTTTATATACGTACAGATGTGGATGGCCAAAATTGCTGGTAAGAGGGTTTGGACATAATACTTTGAAGGTATCTTATGCTAGAGTTCAACATTTTCCAATGACAGTCATCACTGGATAGAGACAGAACACTGATTGGTTACTCTATATTATTAGGAAGCATAACTGTATGAAGTAATAAATAGTGTGAAATATTAATGGTTTCTTTGCCAGTCGACTCTCTCTCTCTCTCATTGGTAACAGTATTATGAACTGTTTTGTTGAGAAATTGCTGTGTATTTTAAGCTCAACTAACATCTCCTGCATTGCATCACACTGTATTAAACCCCCAGTTTGCTATGAAATGCTTGTACCGCAGGACATTAGCACATTAGAGAAATATGACCATCAGTGAATACAGCATGTATAATATAAAAAGAATTAATGGCAGTCATCCCATTTTAAAGCCTTAGTTTACCAGTAATTAGTGTCATATTCCTCCGGTGTCATCACTGTGCTTAACAATGTAGTTTCAGTCTCAGAAGTTCTTTTGACAAATGTAAATGACAAATGCAAAATGTTATATTGGAGTCCTGACTTTATTCCTTAACATTGAAGGAAAGTGTTGTGGTCCAAACCAAAAACCCATTGATGTGCTTTTACTTCCCTGAACACTTCATTAGTCTATGGGTGTTGCAGGTATACATATGTTTGGAGTGGGTGGGTATGAGAGTTGACAGCTTTGTTTAATTGTTCTATATAATGTGGATGCACAAAGAAAAGCTTACTTGAAAAACTGTTTAATTAGCCTGCAGGGAACTTCTAAACTTCTCCAAGTGTCTCAGCTTCAATCTCTAAATACAGTACAGCAGGGACTTCAAGTTGTGATTACTGTAGATGATGTGCATGGTGGCATGAGCATCAAGCCATAATTATATGCCTAGAAATAAACCAATAAACTGTCTTTACCAGCTCATGTGTCTCCTGTACTTGATGGCATTTTTTTTCTAGTATTTTAATCCTGGTCTTAAGACATAAGACCTGGGGCCTCATTTATAAAAATGTGTGTACGCACAGATTTGATCTTAGAGTGTGCGTACACTAAAATCCACGGCAACGTTCATATTTATAAAAACGGTCTTTTACGTGGAAAAGTACTTGCCGTCACGTCAGGGTCTGAGCAGACGTACGCATTTTTCCTTGAGGCAAAGTCGGAGCACTGCAGCTATTTGAACATCTAAGCTGCAATAATAAAAGCGGTGTACCTGCAAGCAACGAATTCATCATAAACAACAAAGATGCAGTGTACGATATTAATTGTGCAGTGTAGTCAGATTTTTTTTTATTAGCGGGAGCTTTTGCGAGATTAAACTGACCTTTTAGTAGCCTAATGTTGAGAGTTCTTTACTCGCTTTCTGTACACAGTTTATCCCATGCTGTTGGTTTTTATTAGGGCCCAAGCCAGAAAGGCGCAGGGCCCTATTGAT